ATGTTAATACTGATTAAGCCAGATCCCAGAATGAACTCTGCCTTGATAGATCATATTTTTTATAGAATCTCTACAGTGTGGAAACAGGCTCTTCGGCCCAACAAGTCCACACTGACCCTCACAGCATCCCACCCAGACCCATCCCCCTATGACCCACCTAACCTACACATCCCTGAACACTACAGGCAATTTAGCACGGCCAATCCACCCAGCTTGCATCTTTGGACTGTGGGAGGAAAGCAGAGGTAGTGGAAGCAGATACTATAGTGTCTTTTAAAGGGTGTCTTGACAAATACGTGAATAGGATGGGAATAGAGGGATACGGTCCCTGGAAGGGTAGGGGGTTTTAGTTGTGACGGGCAGCACATTGGTGCAGGTTTGAAGGGCTGAAGGGCCTGTTCCTGTGCTGTAATTTTCTTTGTTCTTTGATCAAATGCCCTCTTGTTTCATGCTGCCCCCTTGTTTCATTATCTTGTTTCATTAGTTTTAATGAGGTAGTCTTTTACAAATACACAATCTGTTTTTCACAATAAAACAAAAGTTTATTCCATAAAAGAAATCAAGATAAAATAGAACAAATCAAATGATTTGCAAATAACACAGATGTAAATATTTAAATACACATATTAAAATACAATTCTATTAATTCATACAGCTTTAGTGATTCATCATGTAACTGAACTCAGACTTTCTCAGCTTCAAATAACCCCTTTGAGGTTTTAACTGAACACCTCTGGGCTGGAACTTGTAAACTAAACTCCTTACAGTTTGGTAAACTCTTTCTTAACAGCACTAAACTACCTCCATTTCTCAGGAGCAACCATTTTTACATTTTCAATCGCAGTCAAGCTTTCTGCAAATTGTCCAAATTGAAACTAAAAGACTGTTTTCCAAAATATAGTTGCTTCCCCAAACCCAAACTAAGTACAGTAAACATTGATCTGAACGTGTTATGAACTACATTTTACTTCATTCACTGGTTAAAAAAAAAACTCCCCCAAAGTAAACAAAACCCATTACTCTCCTGGAAGTCTCTCTCTCTCTCTCTCTCACTGTTTTGAAAGACATCACCATGGCTACAGAGACAGTTACAAGTTAATCATTAAACCCCTTCAGATGCCCAGAAAACCCCTATTCCTCCAGTTCAAAGTTAAAATACAGATGTACATAAATCTCACACTTTATATCATAATGTGTATGAGATTATGACTGTGCCCAGCAGAGGGAGCTTGTGTGTCTGTGTGTATGTGCATGAGAGCGAGACAGGGAGTGAGCATGCGTAAATGTGTGTCTGGGCATATATCTTGCCTAAATCTTCGTCCCACAACTCCGACTTCTGTGTCTTAACCTCATGGCTGAGTTTGTGAGCAAGCAGGGAAATACTGCATTAACAAATGCTTGTGATTGTTATAATCTTGGGCATTAGAGGATACAGTGCTCTTTCTCTGGGCTATGTCATGAAGACGATCACTCCTTGGGTCCCGAAATTTTTTTTTATTCATTCGTGGGACCTGGGCATCACTAGCTGGGCTAGCCTGTCCCTAGTTGCCCCTTGAGAAGGTGGTGGGGGTGAGCTGCCTTCTTGAACCATTGCAGACATGTGCTGTGGGTTGACCCACAATGTCCCTTCGGGAGGGAATTCCAGGATTTTGATCCAGCGACACTGAAGGAACGGCCAATATATTTCCAAGTCAGGATGGTGAGGGGCTTGGAGGGGAATGTGCAGGGGGGTGGTGTTCCCATGTACCTGCTGCCCCTTGTCCTTCTGGATGGAAGTGGATCGTGGGTTTGGAATGTGCTGTCTGAGGATCTTTGGTGAATTTCTGCAGCGCATCTTATAGATGGTACACACTGCTGCGACTGAGCGTCGGTGGTGGGGGGAGTGGGAGGTTTGTGAATGTGGTTCCATTCGAGCGGTGGGGGGGGGGGGGGGGGGGGGGGGTGGGGGGTGGTTCTTTGTCCTGGATGGTGTCGAGCTTCTTGAGTGTTGTTGGAGCTGCTCCCATCCAGGGGGCAAGTGGGGAGTATTCCATCCCACTCCTGACTTGTGCCTTGTAGACGGTGGGACAGGCTTTGGGGAGTCAGGAGGTGAGTTACTTGCCATAGTATTTCTAGCTTCTGACCTGCTCTTGTAGCCCCTGTGTTAATGTGGTGAGTCCAGTTGAGTTTCTGGTCAATGGTTACCCCCAAGATGTTGATGTTGTGGGGCGGTTGAGTGACAGTAACACCGTTGGAAGGCAAGAAGCACACATTAGATTGTCTCTTATTGGCGATGGTCAGTGCCTGGCATTTGTGTGGTGCAAATGTCACTTGCCATTTGTCAGCCCAAGCCTGGATATTGTCTAGATCTTATTGCATTTGAACATGGACTGCTTCAGTATCTGAGGAGTGGAGAATGATGCTGTGCAATCATCAGGGAACATCTCCAGTTCTGAATTTATGATGGTGGGAAGGTCATTGATGAAGCAGCTGAAGATGGTTTGGCCTGGGACACTACCCTGAGGAACTCCTGCAGAGATGTCCTGGGTCTGGGATGACTGAATTCCTACAACCCTAACCAGACATGTCAGGTAGGGTTCCAACCAGTGGACAGTTTACCCCCTGATACCCATTGATTCCAGTTTTGTCAGGGTTTCTTGATGCCACACCCATTGCATGTGGCCTTGAAGTCAAAGGCTGTCACTCTCACCTCACCTCACCTCTGGAATTCAGCTCTTTTGTTTGAACCAAGGCTGTAATGAGGTCAGGAGCTGAGTGGCCCTGGCGGAACCCAAACTGGGTGTCACTGAGCAGGTTATTGCTGGGCAGGTGCTGCTTGATGTTGGTGACACCTTCCATCACTTTACTGATGATCGAGAGTCCTTATCTTTTGCACGGATGTGCTGGGCTCTTCCATCACTGAGGATGGGGATAATTGTGGAGCCTCCTCCTCCAGGGAGTTGTTTAATTGTCCACCACCATTCATGACTGGATGTGGCAGAGCTTGGATCTGATTCATTGGTTGTGGGATTGCTTAGCTCTGTCTATCACTTGATGCTCACGTTGTTTGGCACACAAATATTCTGGTTTTGTTCATCTGTTTGGTTATTGAGTGATTCATAGAGTTTTACAGCATGGCAAAGAGCTTTTCAGCCCATTATGTCCCTGCTGGTCATCGTGCACCTATCTACTCTAGTCTCATTATCCAACATTTTGCCTGGAGCGTTCTAGATTTGTTTTTAAACAATCTATTGAGGCATGTTGTAAGACACTTGTGGAGTAAGTCAGACTTGAACACAGACCTCCTCGTCCACAGTACCGCTGTGCCAGTTCCCCAATCCTTGCATGCTCGGGCATTTCAAATGATTGTCTCTATACCTCTACCACCCCTTAAGGCAGTGAGTTCCAGACCCCCACCAGCCTCCAGGGGAAACATTTCTTGGTTACCAATCCAGCCAGCACTGGCTAACCACAAAACTCCCAGGTCAATTCGCAATCCAAGTTGAACTACAGCACCTGGGGAGTGTGGCGGCCTATACAACTGAGCTGATTGATCGGAGATAAAGTGGGGGCTGTTGGTTGGTGAGGGAGAGAGATGAAGCTGCTCCCGGGCCCTCAAAGCGTCTTTGGAGTTCTTGATCCCAGAGGGTTGCGGATGCTCAAATCATTTAAGGCTCAAGCCCATCGATTTTTGACATCAGACGTTGGGTAGGCGAGGGCCTAGTGGGATTATCACCAGACTGTTAATCCAGAAACCCTGGTAGTGTTCTGGGGAATCGAGGTTTGAATGCCACCACGGCAGATGGAGTCTAATGATGACTGTGAACCCATTGTCGATTGTCAGGAAAAACCCATCTGATTCACTAATGACCTTTAGGGAGAAGGAAACTGCAGTCCTTACCTGGTCTGGCCTACATGTAACTCCAGACCCACAGCAGTGTGGTTGATTCTTAACTACCCTCTGGGCAATTAGGGACGGGTGATAAATGCCAGTGACACCTTCATCCCGTGAATGAACTTTTAAGGAAAAAGACAAAATCACAGGGGTGTGGGGATTGAGGGGTCTGAGCCATCTCTGGTTCCTGATCATTCTTCAATCCTCTCTTTCGTGTTACATCTCTGGTCAAAATCTACTTCCGTATGGACACACGGAATTAGGAAAAAGAAGGCCTTTCAAGCCTGCTCCACCATTCAATAAGATCATGGCTGATCTGATCAATCCCTGATAACCTTTCACCCCCTCACTTATCAAAAAAAATCTATCTGCCTTTTAAAATATCCAAGTTCGCTGCTTCCACCACCATTTGAAAGACAGTTCCAAACTTAATCCTCCGAAGAGAAACGTTCTCCTCATCACTCTCTTAACTGGTTTTGAAAGAGTGACCCCTAGATTCTCCATCAAGAGAAAACATCTTGTCAAAAATCACCCCTCAGGATGTTACAATGCAAGTCATCTCTCACATTTCTAAACTCGAGAGGATACAAGCCCAGTCTGTCCAATAAGTCCTCATAAGACAAGTTGCCTACTCCAAGCATCAGTCTGGTGAAAAATCTCTGAATCATAGAATCCCTACAGTGTGGAAGCAGGCCATTCAGCCCATCGAGTCCAAACCCACCCTCTGAAGGGCAAACCACCCAGATCCATCCCTGTAATCCTGCATTGCACATGGCTAATCCAGCTAATCTGCACACCCCTGGACACTATGGGGCAATTTAGCACGGCCAATCCACCCTAACCTGCACATCTTTGGACTGTGGGAGGAAACTGGAGCACCCGGAGGAAACCCATGCAAACACGGGGAGAATGTGCAAACTCCCACACAGTCGCCCGAGGGCGAAATCGAACCTGGGTCCCTGGCACTGTGAAGCAGCAGTGCTAACCACTGAGCCACCATGCCGCCCACAGTAGACAGGAGTATTCTATCTGCAGTGCTGAGCAGTGGGCAACACAGAGATTGAGACGGGTTCACTGTCGCTCGCACCAAAGGGGTCTGCAACAAACGTCGACATGAGCATCACAGTTTTATTTTGTCGATACATTTTATTCGAACTTCTTGTAAAAAGTTTGGCAGCCCTTCAGAAACAATAATTAAAAAATAACACAGACACGTACACAAGTCATAAAACATCACCCAGAAACTTGGCTCCGATTCCGACATAAAACGTAACTGCAGCCAGGAGGGGCGGGAGAGTGTGGGGGATGCTGGGAGGGTGGAGGGGGGATCGTCAGGAGGCTGGAGACGTTTGCAAGATGCAGGGCAAAACTGGTATCCCTTGCCTGAGCAGCAGAAGGCACTTGGTGTGGGACATAGCAGCAGGAGGTGAGACTTTACAGCGTCGTTCTCAAGCGAACATGGTCAGTGTGAGCCACTGTGGGAACAACAGAAAGATCAGGTTTAGAGTCTGTACCAGCATAGATCATCTCCTAACCCCTGTCCAGCCAGTGAGGTATTTCTGAGGTGATACGAGGTTATGGGATTGTTGTAAAAACCCATCTGGTTCACTACAGCACTGGATACAAAGGGATTAATAGTGACCATCTTTTGCCCGAGTTAAAGATACTGCACATTTTAACCAAAGAACATGGAACATAACAGCGCAGTACAGCCCCTTCAGCCCTCAATGTTGCGCCGACCTGTGAAACCAATCTGAAGCCCATCTAACCTAAACTATTCCATTATCATCCATATGTTTATCCAATGACCATTTAAATGCCCTTATGGTGACACGCTGGCTCAGTGGTTAGCACTGCTGCCTCACAGCGCCAGGAACCCGGGTTCGATTCCACCCTCGGATGCCTGTCTGTGTGGGAGTTTGCACATTCTCCCCGTGTCTGCGTGGGTTTCCTCCGGGTGCTCCGGTTTCCTCGCACAGTCCAAAGATGTGCAGGTTAGAGTGGATTGGCCGTGCTAAATTGTCCCATAGTGCCCAGGGATGTGCAGGTTAGGGTGGGTTGGCCGTGCTAAATTGCCCCATAGTGCCCAGGGATGTGCAGGTTAGGGTGGATTGGCCGTGCTAAATTGTCCCGTAGTGCCCAGGGATGTGCAGGTTAGGGTGGATTGGCCATGCTAAATTGTCCCATAGTGCCCCGGGATGTGCAGGTTAGGGTGGATTGGCCTTGCTAAATTGTCCCATAGTGCCCAGGGATGTGCGGGTTAGGGTGGATTGGCCGTGCTAAATTGTCCCATAGTGTTCAGGGATGTGCAGGTTAGGGTGGATTGGCCATTGGAAATGCAGGGTTATAGCTTACAGGGATGGCTCTGCATGGGATGCTGTTCGGAGGGTCAATGCAGACTTGATGGGCGGAATGGCCTGCTTCCACATTGTACGCAATTCCATGATTCTTTGATTCTCTTTGAAGCAGTTGGAGGCTGTTTTAGACAGATCGCACAGGTAACTATTCTGGGTAGGGATGAGGAAGGAAGAATCTCAGTACCAACCTGATACACATCAAAGGTGACAATACCATCCCGGTCTGTATCCAGCATCATGAAGGATCCTGCAGTGACACAACAGCACAGTGAATAAAATCACTCACGTTACAATCTCACTGTTCAGGTTCTCGTCAACGCAGACAGAGACAGACACACACGCAGACACGTGCAGACATGCGCACACACACACACGCACGCACACACACAACCCCTTGTGAAATGTTGGTGGGGGTGGACTCACTGTACATGCTCTCCAAGCGGATTAAACAGCAGATGAAGCTATCAAAGTTGACAGACAGGTCAGGCTCCGCATAGCGTGTGATGAGCAGATTGTGCATGTGATTGTTCAGTTTGAACCCTGCGAGAGAGAGAGAGAGGAGTCAGACACGCGCTCACAGAGTCATCAGTAATCCGGAGCTCTCTGGGATCTTACTTTTCACTGCAGCATTCCTGAAGGCCTGGTTTGGAAGTTATGGGCTTGGCTTTCTCATAGCTACAGGCCTAACATGAAGCCTTGATGGGTAGGCCCACAGGCCGGACACACACACAAAGCCTGCCCAGCCAGGCCCAAAGCCTGAGGCCTAGCTGTGGACCCATCAAGGTGACCCCTGAAGCGAGCCTGTCACCTGACCACCTCTCTGGGAATCGCCACCCCCACCCCCACCCCTACCCCACAACAAGTTTCACTGTCAGGATGGCGGCCATTTTGTACGACGGCAGATCCTGCAGATGATCAAGTCTTCAAAGCTCGATAAGAGGCAGATGGGAATCCAGGTTCAGAACTCATCACATCGGCCACCGACTTACCAAATGTTGGAACAGACTCGAGGGGCCGGATGGCCTACACCCGCTTCCGATTCACCCGCTCACCCAAGGAGAGTTCAGGGGCTGGATTGGACAGCGGTCCCACAAGCAGCTAAAACGAGCAAGGAAGGATCTGCATTTGTATGGCGCCTCATCAGAGCAACCCCATCGGAGAGATCTCAAAGTGGGCCCGTGTACAACATGCTGGCACCTTGCGCACAGCAAGAGCCCAAAGCCAGCCGATGGGAAACAGGGGTTTAAGGTGTAAGATAAAACCAGGATTCCTGAGTTGTCAATCCATATTGAGGCTACCGTGCCAACCGTAGGCCCAGGCAGTGAGGCCTTGCTGGGACCTCTACTGGACCCTCACACCTTTCAGAGGAGATGGTGCCAGTGTCACTGGGCTAGAAATCGGAGTAAATGCTCCGTGAACAAGTTTATGTCCCGTAAAAGGTGGAACTTCCCTTCAGTGAACAAACTCTAGAATTGAAAGCTAGACTTTATTTGTTCAGGGGACGTGGGTGTCTCTGCCCAGGTCAACATTTACTGCCCATCCCTAATTGCCCTGAATGCACTTAAGAAGGCACTTTCTAAAGAAGGGTCCCAACACAAAACGTCAACTTTCCTGCTCCTCTGGTGCTGCCTGGCCTGCTCTGTTCCTCCAGCTCCACACTGTTGTCTCTGACTCCAGCATCGGCAGTTCTTGTTATCTCTAAGAGTCAACCACGTTGCCTCAGGTCTGGAGTCACACGTAGACCGGCAGCTTTCCTTCCCTAAAGGAGATCAGTGAACCAGATGCGTTCTTACGACACTCAACAACAGTTCAGCCGTCTGACTTTTCAACGAAACCTTTCGATTCCAGATCGGGTCAAGTTCAAATTTCACCACTTTGGCATGGTGGGATTCAAATGTGCCCAGAACATTGACCTCAGGTTCTGGATTAATCATTGGAGAGGCCATGGCCTACTGGTATTATCATTAGGCTATTAACCCAGAGACCCTGGTAATTTCTAGGTCCTGGGTTCGAACTTGAATTAAATATCCAAAAGTCTGGAATTAAGAATTTTGTCGATTGCCAGGAAAAACCCATCTGCTTCACTGATGGGAACTGGGAATCTTGCCATCTTTAGCTGGTCTGGGCCTAAACGTGACTCCAGACCAATGTGCCTGACTCTTATCTCCCCTCTGGGCAATTGGAAATGACTAATGAATGGAATAATACTTTTTGAAAACTGCAATTCCACTAGATCTTCGTGAAACTCTCGTCAATGGCTACAGAAACCCTCTGGGTTCACTAATGTCCTTCAGGGAATGAAAGCCCCCATCCATAAGGGAACAGAATTAGGCCATTTGGCCCATCGGGTCTGCTGTGCCATTTGATATGTTTGTCAACCCCATTCTCCTGCCTTCTCCCCGTCCTCACCCGGTCCGGCTCAAGCCCAAATATAGTCACAATGACCCATCTCTCCGCGGTGAAAATCTCCATAAATTCACCCCCCACCGAGCCCCCAACAGAAGAGATTTCTCCTCATCTCCAGTTCACCAGCGTCCTCTCAGAGTAGGACCTCCCACGTCTTTCCAGGCTGTAGATCCAAATGTCACTCCAGGCTCCCATTGATACAGGGGGCCCTCCGACGCTGCCTGGCAGGACATGCTGGACCATTGGAAGCTCCAGGTAAGGGGGTAGGGAGGTGAATGTCCAGTACTGTGTGGGACCACCATACCTGCAGACTCCAAGGCCAGCCTCATCTCGTAGGCGTTCATGCTCCCAGATTTGTCCAGATCAAACTGTCGGAAAACTCCCTGCAAAGACAAATCCGCATCACTGGAATCGCCCGGGGAGCCTGAAACACACTGACCCAGATCGCTTGGGAAAGACACCCCTCCCCTGTGGCTGATCCTACCAGGTGAGAGACTGTAACTGACCTCAGCACCCACCCTGTGGGAAAGGTAGGGGTGCAACGGGCTAACAGCATCCCTTGTCTCTGCTGCCCACTGTCGCCACATAGAAGAATGGCCAGAGCAGACACTGCGAGGGGAGGAAATAGGCAGACTACGCTCAGAGCTGGGTCTACCACAAGCTGCTGTTAGACGCAATGGAGCTGACAGCTTCCTCGCTGGACAAGGTGCATCGGCCTATCGTCGTTCAGGACGCCTGTCAACCACGCTAGAGACGGCAAAGCGCCCTTTTCGAAGGGCTGTCATCATGGTCACATAGGAAATGCGGCAGCCAACTTGTGCACAGTGAGATCCCACACTTGCGGTCAGTGTGACGTGGACCCAGCTCCTTGGCAACATTGGATTGAGTTGAGGGATGGATATTGGTCCAGTGGGGGCCCGCAGGGGAAAGACTGTTCTCCAGCCAGCTGAGAGGGTCTTAATGTCACGTTGGAAGACAAGCTGATACCAGTCAGATGTTCATCATTGAGCCAAAGAAGGGGACTGCTATCCATTCAGGACAAAGCACCCCCTGCTTGATTGGCAACACATCCGCTCCCTCCCCCACCGACGCTCAGTCGCAGCAGTGTGTACCATCTACAAGTTGCACTGCAGAAATTCACTAAAGATCCTCAGACAGCACCTTCTAAACCCACGACCCACTTCCATCCAGAAGGACAAGGGGCAGCAGGTACATGGGAACACCACCACCTCCGCAAAGTTCCCTGCTCACCATCCTGACTTGGAAATATATTGGCCGTTCCTTCACTGTTTGAGGTCAGAATCCTGGAATTCCCTCCCTAAGGGACATTGCGGGTCAAACCAAAGCACATGGACTGCAGCGGTTCAAGAAGGCAGCTCATCCCCACCTTCTCAAGGGGGGCAACTAGGGACGGGGGCAATAAATACTGGGCCCAGGCAGATACACCCACATCCCATGAATGGATTTTAAAAAAAGACAAAGACAGTCAGTCAAAGAGATTGGCTTCTTAGGGGCATCAGAAAGGGTGGGGGGGTGACGCGAGGGGAGATAGAATGAGAGAGAGTGGGCAGAGCGGTTTGTGGAGGGGGAAATCTGAAGGGTAATCCCTGAACCCCAGCTGCAGGAGGTTGGGTGGGGGGTGGGGGCGGTGGAGACAGACCTGAGGACACGGCACTGAAAACGAACACTTACCAGCCACTTGCGTATCTTGTTCCACAGCACATTGAACTCTGTCAGGCCCAGCCTCGCGTTCCCATCTCGCTGGCCCCAGCACTTAAGGAAAACCGCTGGACGAAACGGGCGCTAATCCATCGCAAGAGGTGGCAACTCTTCCCCCGACCCTGTTTCTGAGTCGGTGCCAATTCTCCCGCATCTGAGTTCTGGGACTCCTCCTCCCCCCCTCCAACCCCTACCAGATCGCACACAACCTTATGCCACCATCTCTCGATGCCACAGCAAGAGGTGTGTGGGGGGATGGGGGGGGGGCACTGACTATCTCTGAACGCAGATTTAATACGTGACCCAATGCTCTCAAGAGGATACGTCCATGAGATTGACCATACATCGGCAGGAATCCAGACTGAAACCTTCCGTCTTCAGGTCTTGGTCTAGAGGCAAGACACAACAGAGAGATCGAGGTTATAGGTAAAAGGGGCCACTCGAGACAGGGTGAACTGAAAGACAGCGGAGCTCAGAGGCAGCTTACGTTTTCCAACCACACGATTAAGAATTGTCTGTAGCTCAATCACTGTGATCTGCAGGTCCTGCGGGGAGACAAGACAAGGAACACTCTCTCAATCAGGACCAGAGAGGAAAATCCATTCGGATAACAACATAACCACCACTTCCCAGTGAAATCATAATGAGGTCAATTAGACAGCCCACGCCTACACCCCCTCCCTATCTCCGTCGCCCCCTCCAGCCCCTACACCCCCT